ATATTTGGCGATTTCAGCATCTGCCTTTCTAATTATAACTGTTCTGTTTCTTCTCCTGCACTCTCTACACATCTTCTTTTCCCATCTCCACCTGCTGTCAAAGTTGGGTGTCAACTCAATTTTGTTTTCTTCAGGCCTTCCCCTCAGCCTTTTGTTACTACATATGACTACTCCAATCACTCATCTCCTTCCCTCTCACTCCCTTGTCTTTCTCCTTCATGACTCACCTCCTCTGTCTCCCTCTACCTTTGCTTTACCCTAATGGTCCAACATTCTTCTTATTGACACTGTGTCTGACTAGGACTCTGACACATCCACTTTCAGCATCTCATTTCTTCACTTCCACTGTCCACTTGTCTCTCTCCCTTTTGCTTGGCCAAATTCAAGCAATGCTCTGCTGAGAATAAATGGAGATCCTCTGGTTTAGACCTTTATCATTTCTTTCTCTCATCTTTTTCTTCACCTCTCGCCTCTGACAAACATTCCTCTTACCAATCAATCATCCAGTTTTTCTAGTAATCCACAGACATTCTTCTCCACAGTCTCAGTCCTTGTGCCCTTTCCTCTATCTTAGCTGATGACTGATTTCCTTCCTCCAGTGGAACTGTTTTTCTCTCACTTGCTGATATTGTTCACTCAGCTACCACCGCTTCCTTTTCATCTGTATTAATCCCCCTTGACCTCTCTCCTGCCGTTGACATGGCAAATCACACTACGATTCTTTCAGCACTTTCTGACCAGGGAATCTCTGGCACCACTTAACACCTGGTTCTCATTGTACCTTGCTGATCACATGTCCAGAACTCTTGGAGTGGTCCAGCCTCTGTATCCCATAATATTCTCTCTTTAAAAGGGCTCCTTAGGAATTCTGATCTATTCCCATGGCTTTTTATACCACTTTTATACTGATATTTTTCTGTGTCTGTCACCCTTCTCTCCTTCCCCATTAATGCATGTGTCATTTCCTCTTGGATATAGTCCCATTGCAAACATCTCATCATCTCTAAACCTGACCTCCTTTTCTTTCCTACCTCTTCTTTTTCTGCTCTCGATCTCTCCATCTTTATTTCTCTTGAATCTACCCTCTCTCTTTCCTCTTTTCCAATGGAGCATCCCCAGTACTGCACTAATTTGTTTACATAACTTCTAGTTAAGGACCTGGTGCTCCCCTTCCTAGTCTAGAGCAAATCCCTCTTCACTGGCTTACTGGCTTTATCCTTAAGTACAGAAAAGACCAAGTAAACAAGATCATATCAAGAGAACTTTTTTCATCGTAGTGAAATTGATTATAAATAATGCATACTTGCATTTCTGTAGCGCTCATCATCCCAAAGTATCTCAGTTTGCTTTAATATAGGGGGAAACGGTCTAATGTATACCACCAACCTTTGAAATATCCACTTAGTGTATTCAGTGTCCGCGCCTCAGTTGTTCTGTGAGCATTTGACTGGTTAATGATGCCTTGCTCATATAGCTGTCAGGTGTTTTTTTTTATAAGTTTTGAATTTATTTCAGTTCTTCTTGCTTTTTGTGGGATACAATTTATTAACTATTGAATGACCAGGTCATTCATAGTTGATCCTGAAAAGAAGTTTGATCCATGTGAATCATGTTAAAAAATACTCTGTAACCATTTGCAGTTTTTGAACACATCACCCTAAATAACATTGATTTGATTTGCACATATGCTGCATGTCACTCATTTTTCCAAAACACTTCTTGAACACCTTGATTGTACAGTTGACATTTGCTTTCCTCCAATTTCTCATGAGTCATGGGTAAAGGTGAAACATGGTGTCTAATTCATGTATTGAATACTGAATGTAACTAAGACTATTGTTTATATCAGCTGAGACTGAATAACTGTCATATGTGCAACACATATCTGTTAAAAATATCTCTGAATTTCATTGCTCTGTGGTCCATAATCGGGAATTTTGACTATACTCAGGCCCAGGGGGGGATTTTGTAGTTAAAAGGCACTACTGTCGTTTATTGTCTTCTGCCTCATTTAAAATAGCTACATGCTGTTCATCATTCTCATGCCTGCAAGAAGCAATTACCTGTTGAGTAACTCCGTCATCATCTTCAAATTCTATTTTCCTGGCTGGGAGAGTCGGACTGGGTTTTCACAACTAGTTGATAGACTTGTCAGTTTCTTCACAGGCATAAAAAAACTATTGAAGATGAGGAGAACATGTAGTTTAAAAATCATGCTGGTATTCAAGAAATAAACCAAACTCTGCCTTGCTGCGTGATGACCAGCTGCCGTATTATTCACCCTCAACCTGTTGTCATGGGGTATGATAATAATAGTTAATTGTTGTGCAACGCTCAGCTGATGCTCAGTTTCAGACATTTACAATATATGACTGTCTGTGAATTTCCCCGCTGTTGTCAACAAGTGTCACTTCACTGTTTAGTCATACAGGTGTGGATCAAGGTCCTTGTCACCGAGGGATAGCTACATTCTGGACTTGGTAAAAATTAAGGTGACTATGGGTTTCATTAGCCTGACTCTGTCATGGAGGTAGTCTATACGTATTAACTTGGATGTTACTAATACTTTGGCCAATTGTAATCATGCGCTGCTCCTGGACTTCCTCTGTATTTCATGATGGGGAAAACGCAAATACATCCTTTAATATTCCAAAAAGCCTTGAACAGCCATTTACTAAGCAGGCAAGGTGGTTCAGGGAGGCAAAGACCACAAGATGAATACTTCTGCTGAGTTCCTGTAGCAATTTTTAATGACATTCTACTGTTTATGTGATTCTTGTTTTTTTTTATGTGAGACAAAGATACCTCTCAACACCCAGTCAGCTGGTCACTGGTGCCAGCTTGACTTCCCTGCACTGTGGCTCTCACACACTCAGTGCAGTGATGTGGGTGATTCTGGCAGGGTAGAGACGGGGATTCACTGATGACAAATGCCCATCAGTCCTGAAATTACATTGTTCAGATACTCAAGCAGGATTTGTATCTTTGGTAGCAGGCCTATTGTAGACTGTAGAACTGCTGCACTGTCTGTAACCTGATGCTTTGAATGACTGAAATTCCTGTGGCACAGCTCTTAATGACCTGCTTAAAACACATTGACTCTTCTGAATGTGACCTTTAGTACACCTTCCACCACAGGCTAATTAATCATGAATGCTTTACTAGTCGAGCACAGGGCAGTGGAAATTCTGTCAAATTAACAATTGGTAGTGAAGGAATTAATGGAATTTTAGTTAAACCTATGAACTGTGAAACAGTTGTCCATGTACAAATTCAGATCAATTAAATAAGATTTAACTTTAACAAAAGTCCTTTGCTTGCTGTATGTTTCCTTTGCGTATACACATAAGAGGTTGAATACAGAAGGAAAAGCTGCCAGCAAGTTTGGAATTTGAGGTGTCTGGGTTGGTCAAAGTTTCAAAGTGAGCATGACCTCCTGTCTGTAGTCCAAGGTCAAGAAACAATTATTTTTTTTCGTTTTTAGTTTCGGGACACCTGTCCTGTAGTCAATGCAGAACATGGGAACAGGTGCTCTTGAGAGTTAATGAATCCTGGTCACCCACTAACAAAGGTGTTCTTGTGGCTGTTTCTTCTTGAGAAGCCACAGTGACAAACTTGTGACTGCACGTGTAGGACATCATAAGCTACAGTGGCATTCATGTTAATAAAATGTCCCTGACGATCCATTTAAGACTTAAGATTTGTCAAAGACAAAGTGCAGTTCATCTTGCTTACCTCTTGGGTCTTGTTTAGCTCACAATTAGTATAATGGCTACATACTTGCTAATTGTTTTTTGTGTTTTCTAGGAAACCTTTTTTTATTAATGGGCATTTTTCTCATTTGTTGCTGACCAAAAGTGATTGCAATGTGGCAGCAATGCTCTATTACACTTCTTGTTGGGGTACAAGCAGTTAAGGTTCATATCTTCAAGAATCAAGCCCCAAGGTGTAAATTTCTCAGTGGTACAGTAATCATCCATCTCCTTTCCATGCAGCACTTCTCAGTTGACGTCCTTAAACCCTTCTTAGTTCCACGGGAAATACTTTATTTAAAGCCCTCTACATTTGGTGTAATGAACTACCTATTTCGTGAGTTAATGACTTCCCTTGATCATTAACTTAAGACTTCTCTTATGCTTTTTTGCCCTTTGGGTTTATTCCCTTAAAGCAAATTGTCCTTTTTTAACAGCTGCCATTAACATGCTTATAGTCTGGGTCCTGCCTGTGCTCACTTTAGGGGTGTATAAAGAAAACACAGAAGGGGTTTTCGTTACATTAATGAGTTAACAAAAAAAAAAGCTTCTTAACCCAATTACATCATGGAATTTAAAGGCCTGACTTTTAAGCAGCGAGTTTTCATAGTTTTAGATTGGCTTTAAAGTTTGTCTACCTGTTAGTATAGGACAGACTGCAAAACTTGTGTTTTCAGAAATGTAGATGGATGTCCAATCAACATGAACAGCTGAGACCGAAGGGAATTTATTCTCTGCACTGAGTACAGGATATTTGGAAAAAAGCTTTAAGATTCCAGTGATGAATCCAGTTACATTTTTTGTGATGAAAGAATTAAACATACATATTATTTTAGTGTGTCTGGAAGACTGAATGCTGTCCTGCTGGTCTTGTGACTCTAATGGATTATAAAGGGAAAAATGTCGGATTTTACAGACTCAAGTAAAGCTATTTGGAGAATGCTGTTTAACATAAGGCAATATCAGCCTTACTGAGTGTAAGGAACATCTGAATAAACAGGATGCTCCTTGGGTGTTTTGGACCATATTTGAATTTTCGGGAACTGGTGAACCAGCCAACTTTTTATGGGTAATCTGTCTGAATATTTTTCTTATGCTTTTAGACATCACCTTTTCATCTGTGTCCTACATGTATGCAGATATTACAAGATAATTTTTTTAACATTCCCTTATGTTATGTTTTACAACATTATAAATGGTCATCAAAATGTTGAATTTGTTTCTCTATTTTTTTGTCTTCCTCTCCAGTCGAACAAGGTACCAGTAGTCCAGCCATCTCACGCAGTGCACCCCCTGACCCCCCTGATTACGTATAGTGATGAGCACTTTGCACCTGGACCACACTCTGGACACCACCCCCAGGATGTCAACTCCAAACAAGGTACACAAGGCCTCTCTTTAGTTTTTGGGGTCACTAGATATCATAGTGTCTGTTTGGTTTCTTCCAGCTTTTTCCAAAGATATCTTGCACATTTCTCAGAGCCAGAGCCAACACTAGTCCTGACCACATCTTGATTGTAGTCCAGCGTTAATTTAGAAAATACTGTTATTCTAAATTTGGACCTCTTTTCCATGTAATTCTAGATATCCCAGATGTTTGTCACTTATTGAAGTGGATGTTTAAAAGGTTGAGAGCCCATCAAGTATATCCTGTTTTGTGGAACTATTCAGGGCCTTGCCCTTTCTGAATAATAATTAGTTATTATTAATAATAATTCCTTACACTTATACAGTATAGTGTTCTTCTGGACACTCCACTCAAAGCTCTTCATGGGTAATGGGGACTCCCCTCCACCACCACAAATGTGCAGCCCCACCTAGATGATGAGATGGCAGCCAAAGTGCGCCAGTATGCTCATAACAAATCAGCTGTCAGTGGGGAGGAGAACAGAGTGATGAGGCCAGTTAATAGATGGGGATTATTAGAAGGATTGGCCATGATTGGTAAATATCAATTAAAAATTTGGTCAGGACACAGAGGTAACACCCCTACTGTTTTTGAGAAATGCCCTGTGAATGTCAATGACCACAGAGAGTCAGGACCTTGGCTTTCCCATCCAGGTACTGGCCAGGCTCACACCTGCTGAGCTCCATTGGTTTGCCAGTTGTGATATAACTGCTACCTATAAATGTTCTTAGGACTGTCATCCTAACTGTAATACACCAGTAGTCTTTTTGTTTGTGCTTGAAACATGATTACCTTTGCATTTTTTAAATAATTAATTAGTTGTTACACTTGCATTCTGCTGCATAAAAGTTTGGTATATTTCAGTTTTTCAGAGCTGCAGGTATATATATATAAGCCAACATTTGAAAAAGGTGATTTCAAGACTAGATTTGTATATTTTTCAATGCAAATCTAATGAGTTCAGAAACCCCTTGTTAAAGATATTGTTTTTGTGCTACCTCAGTCAATGTAATTAACGCAGTTGCTCACAAAATGTGGCGGAGGTCACACGGTCACAGTGTGGTGAAGGATTAGATTTGATATGCATTTCTCCTAACCGAGTAATCTGTAGTGTGCTTTTTGTACACCACAATTTCCTTGAAATGCACAAAGCAAAATATTAGAAAGACCTAAATTTGGACCTCTGTTTTGCATAGGATAAGCTTTTACAAACAGAATATTTAACTTAACATGTGTAAAATCTAGCGGTAGTTACTGTACGTTTTGGGGGTGGAGGTTGTGACAGGGGAGGTTAAAGGCAGTTGAGGAACAACCCAAGATATTTTCCACTATACAGTATTTCACACCTCTTGTTAAGCAGCCTGCCTTTCAGAGAACAGTGTTTGTGGTTTACTACACTTGAACTAACTTGCAGGCCTTTTTGTTTTTGTTTAAACATCATGATGGTAAACTGTGCAGGGCATTGCCAGCACATGAGCTGAGTTGGAGGAGTTTTCAAAGCTGTTTAGGGTGATTATTGGCAGCAGTTCTTAAACTCCCTGTGTGCTTTTTCCTTCCGGCTGACATTCAACATATACCACTTAAAAGGGCCTGGGACAAAACAGGATGTGATGCCACAATGAAGTTTGGTGGGATATAAATAGCCCAAGAAGACTGTATGCCAACCAGACATTAAACATCTTTCACATATAGCCTAGAGGCAGCTTCATCTTGTACTTCAAGCTTAACATGCAGTGTGATCTGAAGGCTTAGAAAAACACCCATACCCTTTTTTTCCCCCAATTATTTTCTTCAACAGTTTTTGGTTGTAATGAAAACTGACAAGTTAAATCTGAAAAGGCTTTCTGCAAATATTTATATTTCCTTTCTGTCCACAAATATGAGTGTGATTTCCTTGAAAATACCTTGGAAATATTGTAGGCATATTTAATCTGTTTTTCAGAATTGTTTTTAAGCCCAGTTTTGGTTTGTTATCCATAAACACTTCAGTGGCCTTACACTTTTCAGTAACAGTGTTTGCAATAAGGGTATTGCCATCCTTTTAGCAGCATTTTAGATATTTTGGGGGAAAGAGGAATTTATAATATCTTATGTGTGTGTACTAAGTGGTATAAATTAGGGGGCACACTCCAGTCCTGGAGGGCCAAAAGGTTTCTGCTATTCTTTCCACATGAGTCCTTAACTACCTAATTGGAATTGCTGGACAGTGTCCCTTGAGGACTGCACTTGGGCACCCCTGTTGTACATTTAATGCACAGTAACCTGTTGGCAATCCAGTCATTGGCTTATCTTGCAGGTTTACAATTTATTTGCATTGTCTTTGTTGCTACGGCTCTGAAGAATTTCTGAATTTAATAAAGTGGAAATATGGTTAGCTGTTAATAGCTTCAGGTCGAAAATCATCATCATTATTGCTTATGAATTGAGTGAATTAAAAACATATTTTGAAAGTATAATGTGATAAACCTATATGAATAAGTTAGATTCCCATGACATGACAACTCTCTGTAGTCATAGTGGTTGCAGAGTCGATTAATTCATGAGTAATGTAAACCTAAGAGAATACGTCCCGCTTTCCATCGATCACCATCTTGAGAACCCCCATTGAAAAGAGCATCCCAGCAAAGTGATTGCTTTAAAGGAATTCTTAGAAAATTTGTTGCAAATGAGATCCCTTGGTAGTTGGGTGCCTGAAGAATAAAACCAAGTTAGCAGTTCAGTTTGTTCCTTTAGTTTTTATTATAGTTGTTTTCAGAGTATGACTTTGTGAAACTGAATCATTTCTAAGTTCGATTGAGATTGTTTAATTACAATACAGTTCAAACGCACAGGTGATGTTTTTTGTCCCTCGGTTAGAATTTAATGAAAACATAAGCTACAAAAGAGCAGGCCAATTCATCCAGCTGGCTCTTTTAAAGAAGTTTGGATTGAACTCTGCTTTATGTGTATTTTTTTCTTTCTTTTTTTAATGCACTTCCCTTTAAAGTTTTATAATATGTGAATAATATTAAGGATTAAATTTAGTTTTTACAGGATTACCTGCTAGGACGCTTCAAACAAAACATTGTGTTGAAGAATGTGAGTTGACAAACGAATCTGGCGTGGCTAGACACTTAGACTAGTGTAAATGAATATTGACCCCATAAATCTGTTCATTTAAAGGACATGACCACTATAGGCTATTTAGATAAGGAGCTTGTGCAAAAAATCATGCACTGCCATAGATTATAAGGGTTGTAAGCCTCTGTGGTATATTCTTTCTCCCAACCTCTCAATTCTTAATTTCCATCTATTATAAACAATATTAACAGCCAGAGCCTTATTTGGTGTGAAGAAAGGTTTGGCTGCAGTAGTAGCCTTGAGCTGGATACCCTTGGTGTTCTTCACTTTAGGGGTAGGCCTTCTGAGACAAGTTTGTACATGGGGGTGTTTGCTCCATTTGGGATTAAGACCTAGTATTAATCTTGAGGCAGTTGCTTTTTTATGTACAGATGTAGAGCTTTGTATGTTGGAGTTGCCAGTTGACAGATCCATTCAGTGGAGACTGCTTTTCCCCTGTTAAATACTACAAAATGCAGGAAGCACTTGACCTTGAAGCCCAGAGGAGTCGCCTTGCAGAAGAGCTTAGTGGAAACTGGAGTGACAATCATGAGCCAAATGAATCATATCAAGTGTGAGCATTATGAGGACCAAAAACGGCTCTTAATTAACTAGTGATCCGCTTTGGTGGCAAATTTCAAAAACCTGCACAGACCTTTGGGGAATCAGATGGAAATAGGCAAGTCATAATTAACTCAACTTCTAGCAGCCTTTTCATTCTGCATCCCTTCTGTTGTTCCATTTAACACTGTTTTAGGTTCCTGGCTTTATCCAACATATTGCAACATCTCTGTTGGGATTTTTCTATTCTTAGGAGTGGGGGCCGAGGGGTCAGATTGGAAGAAATTATAAACAGATGTTTTTTGGAAGATAAGTTATTGAATGCCTTGAGTTTGTGATTGGTTTGTAACTATTTTAACAATTGGGGAAAACGGAAAAAGTCACCCTATTAGCTTAAGGTTTGGCAACAGTTTCCACAATCTCTGCTTAGTTGACTGGTAGCACATTAAGAAACATGGTTAGAATAAAGAATACAAGGGGTTTCCAAGTAGCTCAACTGGTAAAGGTGCTTGGTTTGAGCTTTGTGATTCTGGCATTGGAAATTTGAGTCAACAATACTAGACTCAATTCCCCAGGCGGACAATTTGCTCAGTGTCACCAGGAGAAAGATTGGGAATGGTGATCCAGGGTATTTTTCACATTGGGATCTTGTTTCAGAATGTTTATCTATGGTTCAGACTAAACTAAACTAAAATATGTCCAAAACAGCCATATTTTGGACACATAAATCCATTTGTGTTTCACTTTCAATATATATTATACAATTTTATCTAGCAGACACCAAATGCATTTACATGTTAGGCGATTTGTTTCTTTTGAATAAAATGGTTGAACCAGAGTTCAGCTTTTAATTTAAAATCAAATAACTGTTCTTTACGTCTCAAGGTGGATGGCCGGGTGTTCCAAGATTTCATTTCCATAAGTGAAGTGTCTCAGTAGCACCCCTGCTGCCAGCTCTTCGGTGTCTCTCTCCCTGCTGTTGTCTTCAAGAGATGAGGAGGTGCTTCTTAGCTAAAGAATCGAGGTGGAACACTGCAAAAAGTGTAATGTGTCCAATAAATGATTACAAATAATTGGTGGGGAATTTAACCAGCTTGTCATCCTCCAGGTATGCCCAGGCATCACCCTGGTCCTGACATTGCCAATTTCTATCCACTGTCTCCTGGAGGAGTTGGGCAGATCACCCCTCCATTGGGATGGTAGGTATTTTCAGCCTTTCATTCTCTTGAGTTTTATCCAGCAGTGTGGGAATGTGCAAACATGGGACTGATAGCCAACAGATGATGCCATAACATCATTGAGGTTTCAAAGGAAGATGAGGTTATAAATATTACGTGGTCAAGGCCTGGTGGAAATGAAGCCTAAACCCGTCTCATTCAACCAATAAAGCTATCGATGAAAGTACCAGTTTTTTGGTACAATGAATGTGGTGGAGCTTTCTTCAGGGGATTGAATTGTACAGGATTTCACTTTACAAATCCCAAAAATATCCTAGTGGGGCATTTATTGATTCTCCTAGAGTTTTGGTGTGTAATAAAATAACACCGTAGCCTCCATTTTCACAAGGTTCTTTGGGAAATCACATGGAGATTAAAATCCACACTCAATTAATCTAGGTACTGTTGAGGAAAATATGGGATGGTGCCTTTTTCTGCTGTATTGTTGAACGTGCTGTTAACTTTCCAATGGTGTACTGTGCCAGACTAAAATGAGAGTGGAGGCTGATGCTGGTTTTGATCATCCCTCTTGTTTTTCTCTGGAACCTCAGGCAAGGTCAGCCTGTGTATCCAATCTCAGGTGGATTTAGGGAACCCTACCCATCTGCCCTCCCAGTCGACACCCCTATGGCCAGGTAGGTGGGCCTGGCTCTGCGGGCTTAGAGAAGGCTGCCCTGCTTCCTCTCCCAGTGCCTGTGCTTGCCTGCAGGGAAGCTTTAAGCGGGGCCTGGGTCAATTCACTGTTTCACCACCATCATGCTGGCACGATGGACTGGAGAAGAATCTGTACTTTTGTCTCCAAACCAATGTTTTTTTCTTTTTAACCAGGCCTAATTGACCTGCTTGTTTGAGCCTCATTAGTAGTTTTAATAAGCCCTTTATTTTAACAGGTTTAATGGTTTTTTATCCTGTTCCATAATTGTGATCTCTGCATTTCATTGGGGGTGGTTTAGAGCAGTTTGGTGCTTTTGTCTCTTCTACTGGAACAGCAAGATCTCTTGTTTAACCCATCTGGAAAACTATGCCCTAAATTGTATTGTATATAAAGGAAGACCATACTGAAGAAGGAAAGTGCAGTAGCTCCCTGGAATTTAAATAAATAAGATTACCCAGGTTTGGTCATATATAAGCTTTTATTAGGTTAGGAAACATATGTACTTTACAACTCATCCTCAAGGAGGAAAAAGGAGTCTTCTCACTGTAGATCAGGATAAGATTCATTTGTGCACATCGTTTCTCATCAGCAATACTGCACTTTGTCCTGTTTGGGAAATCTCAGGTAAATTTAATTAGCACTTCATTAACTCCTCCCCAGGCAGTGTTAAATTGGATCCTATGAGAAATGTTCCTATGAGACTGTAGTGCTACTGTGGGGCTCTGGATCAGTCGCAGATGTGTGATTCATGCATACTGCAGCTATGAAATGGGAAGGTGGTAAAAGCCCTGTCATTTCAATGGGAATCGCAATACCAGCTTTTCTGAGCTATTAAATCCTGCTTTGACAAGCCTTGCTCTTTGGCTTTTTCGTTTCAGACAGTATCTTTGTTTGGTAGGTAAAATGTCTGAATTCTTGAATCTCTTGAATGTTTTTTTTCCAGTGTCTTTCTAAAGCTATCACTGCTGCATCATTTCTTGTTAAGAGGCAGCAGCCAAAACATACTGCTAACTCGATACAGTAACAAGCTTCAGCGCTCTTCTTATTTTTCCAAACTATTGTGGTAATGCCCTGTCCTTTAAACTTCACTTTAATACTATAATATGTCACTTTAATACTTTAATAATACAGAGTTTTAAAGCAAAACTTGGAACAAAACCTTAAAGCAGTTTATTCCTGGAAAAGGTCTGTAAGGTGTGCTTATGAAGTGTGAACTGTGGTATGCTGTTAAGAAGATAATTAGAAAGAAAAATCTTTCTAAGGTTCTGTATCTTTTAGAAATGAATGTGAGTTACTGTAAAAAACTGTGCTTATAAAAACATTTAAGCAATTTTGTGTGACTTGTTAAATTGGGGAAAAAAGGATTATGGCTCAAAATGAACATCCAAAAATATCTGACTGTCAAAAGGAAAAACTATAGATGTGACCTTGATATGGCCTGTTTACTCTGTGGAGGAATTTAAGCAGTGTGGTAGTATATATTTTTTCAGGGTTCATTCTGAAAAATAAAATAAGCAAATTGTTGGGTAAGACTACTTGTCCATAGTGTCTGAAAGTTCTTTAAGCACTGAACATCCACCTTGAACAGTATTAATAATTGAGGTTTTGGAATCTGGTCCTGAGTTTCAGTGACTTTATCAGTTTGCTTTAACATATGCTCAGCTTTTACCACTGCTGAAACCTCTAAATCTTTGCAAATATGATTGCAAATGTAAATGCATGTGATTGCAAACAGGAATAATTTGCCTTTTTTATCGATACAAGAGGTGAGACATGATTATTCATCAGTTCATCCACAGACGCACCTTAACATTGTTTTTTAACAGGTGATTCAAACCTTGTCCCATTCATGTTACTTCATTGGTGGTGTCTCTTCTGTATGCTTTATCCAACAACTCTGCCATTGCCTTTTTGTTTCACTGCTGAGCACTAAACTGTACAACCTATCGGAAGAGGGAGCTCTCTAAAATTTGAGTGGTCTCTCAAGAAAAGACGTGTGACATACTCTTCCTCTTCTTTTTATCCCACTCTTGTAAGGTTTTCACATCACATGGTGCCAGGACCCCCAGGACCCCACACTACTGGAATCCCTCATCCTGCTATTGTCAATCCCCAGGTCAAACATGAGCATCCTCACGACAGCGACCTCATGCACATGTAAGTCTCTCTCTTTTTTTTTTAGCCGGGTTCAGCCATTTCACATTATGTGTGGTTTGTAATTGTAATTCCTTTGTAGCTCTCATCTTGTTGCTTCATATTAGCCAGAAAACAGAGTGCCAATGCTTTTACTAGATCCTATTCAGAATAACATGGGAATGCCAAAAGGCTTCCTTCATGGCTGCCCACATTATTATTCTTTGAATTATGTTTGTGTTTATCATAACTTCCAGCACGGGTTTGCATAGTTTCGTCCAGTTCTCGATTGCCAGCGTAATAGTACTCACAGAAACGCAACCAGATTTCTGCCTTTTAACTGCCTTGAAGGGACTTAAAGTATTCGTTCCTATGTCTTCTGTGATGACAACCGTTTTTATTATTCGCTCAAAATTGTTACCCAAAGATGACATTTTTCATATGAGACTTACATACAAACATTTTTAAATTAATATTTTTGTTGCTTAAGTTTTTGTGTAATTGTTTTGTCCATTTAACTAAAACCTGAAAACTGCCAAAATTTCTTTCTGACCTTGAAAAGATCAGACGAGATCAGTAGCTTTTTGTAGCATTAGTGCTTTGCGTCTCCAAATTAGGTAATTGTACACTTAGTTGCATTTTGGTCTTAAAACTGTTTTTGTCAATGAATGGCTAGTGCATCTTACAAACATTGCAGAGAAATAGGTAGGAAAAGGAGGACAGTTCTGAAACAGTCTCGCATTTTTATAGGACAACCATAGAGGCTTATGAGTGGTATTGTTTGTGTTGGTTTATTTTTATCCCTCTCCTTGCATTTTCTGTAGGAAACCTCAGCATGAACAGAGAAAAGAGCAGGAGCCCAAAAGACCTCACATCAAGAAACCTCTAAATGCTTTCATGTTGTACATGAAAGAAATGAGAGCAAACGTCGTAGCAGAGTGTACGCTGAAAGAGAGTGCTGCTATCAACCAGATTCTGGGAAGGAGGGTGGGTATCGCCAGCCTAATAATTCATACCAGTTCTGCACCAGCTTATGTTTCTAATTAGCATCTCTTTAGGAAACAAAGTCTTGAACAATTATCTCTCATTTTATGCCTGAACTTATTAGCCTAAAGTATACGTTCCATAAATGATCTATAACAACTTACATGATAAAGGAGTTGGAACTCTATATATTTCTTAAAATATGACAACACTGAAAAGTGAAGTACCTCCTTCTACGATTAACTTAAGCTACAGCAGTCTAGGCAGTGTGCCACGGAGAAGCCCAATTTATGACTATACCGTAATTGCTCACTAACATACTTAAAAAAAGGCAGTTAAATTAGTAACAGTGTTTAGATATGAAATCAGACATGCTAATCTCTTCATCATGTTCTCCTTTTTTGTCTGAATCATTTGGAAGTTAAAAAGGATTTTACAAAAACACTAGCACGCGTCTCTTTGGAAGGAACTTTAAAGTGAATGCCAGTAATTGACTGCTGTTTTTTTTTTCTAACGTTTACTTTAATGCGGCTTGTTCTCAACAGTGGCACGCTTTATCTCGGGAAGAGCAAGCTAAGTATTATGAATTAGCCCGTAAGGAACGGCAGCTTCACATGCAGCTTTACCCTGGCTGGTCTGCAAGAGACAATTATGTGAGTACCATCATACAGATTGGAGACAGAAAGGTGTGTGAAGTGTGAACCTCCAAAACCCAGCGCACAGTGTTGCAACCATTTTTTTTTATAGCCTCAGTCAGCTGTTCTGGAATACTGATGCTTATCTAGTGGCTCTGTCTCTTTTCACCAGTGCCAGTTTTGTTTGAGTTTTCACTCGTCTTGGCTTAACCCACCTCAGATTTAAGGAGAGAATTGTATCTGAATTTGGAATTGCCGATATTCAGTTTTATTAAACCCTCAACCGCTGCTCAAAAACATAGTTACCACCCTGTGGAGTCTGAAGAGAGTGAGGAACTGTCGACACATTCCACCATGACCACCCGTCAGTCAGTCAGAACTGTAAACGTATTGATTACTGACGTCTGTGCAAACGAGCACAACACCAGGAGATGCTGCTGTTTGACCAGCAGAGGGTACCCTGGTCTGCTTGAGCCCACCCAGACCCAGAAACTTTTGCATAGTTGTGCTTTGTTGCTTCTGAAATAGTTTGCTGTTGGTTAGCAACAAATCCCAGAAATAAATGGGTGAAAATCTATAGTTATAGCTCTGTGGTCTGACTGAACACATTTACTAGCTAAAGCACCTGGGAAGTTTTCAAATCTTTCAAAATCAGGGCTTTCAGGTAGATATTCTAAAATTTGTTTTAGAGGGGCACAAAAAATGATTTAATAAACTCAATTGAATTTTATGTCTTTATTGATATTTGCTGGAGCTCAACTACTTGCCTCTCATTTTTATTTTCCAATAATGTGGCTTTTTCCACAAATTCCACAAAGACAAATTCTCTAAAAACTTCTATGGAGGGACATTTTGATGGGAATTTGGGAAAGTAAATTACAAAGGATAATTCTTTCTGGTTAAACAGCCTGTCATATTCCATTTAGCGTTTAAATGGATGAGACAAAGTGAGCTTAAGGATATGTTGAGGACACATTTTTGTTTTACTGCCATCTTTACAGTAAAATTTGAATTGAGCTATCCAAAAGCCAGTACAAGTATTTGTACCAGAAAGTAAGATTTGAAATGTAGACTCATTTTAATGATAAAGGAGCATGAATAACACATCTCTCTTCTTACATTAGTAAAAATAAATGTTACTATAATTTGTTAAATACAAGTATACCATACTAACAGTATCAATTAACCACATGGAAATTAGCAACCAAAAGCCAGAGCCCATGGCTAAAAGCAAGGTTTCTGGAGTCCCCTTATATCTTCTTGTAGCACAGAACATACCCTGTAATCAAAAAGACAATAATACCCTCGGTGGTCTGACATTAATGTCTTGTACAGAGCACAGTATTCATTCTTTGTCTCTGATTCAGTACTACCATGCAATGTAAGGCCAGAGTATTTTTTTTAACCTTTTAACCTTTTGTAAGAAAAACGAAAAAATAGGTACAAAAAAATGCTATAGCACCTGGCTGAATTTTAAGCTGTTGTTTTGGACAGTGTGTTTGTGTGCGAGTGTGTGTGCGCATGACTGATGTTGTTAAAAGTGTGGCTCCAGCACTCATATTCACTACACCATTTGAAAGTGTAGTTTGTGGTGTTTATCTGCCTCCTTTTGGACACCTCAGGCATTTTTCTACCTTTGTTAAAGGGGAAAGTTTTACCATTCTGGAAGACATTTAAAAAATTGTTCAACATGCTGTGTGTTACCATGCTGTGTAATTTTTACATTTTTTGCATTGTGCACAGTGAGGACTAAATTCAGCCTATTGTTGGAAAACTAATGGAACTAAGGCCTCATTAATACTGTACTCATTATTTCCTTCTAGACAAATGGCAAAACAAGGTGTTTACCACAGTTTATGCTGGCAGACTTATTGTCATCATACACCCTAAAAATAGTATTAGAGCAACTGTAACGATCAATACCAGTACAACTTTCAAAAACACACACCAAAATATATTTTTTAGAATATTAATTCTTGCTGTTGTTGAAAAACCTTATCTTTCAAAATAGAAAGGCTGTGATAGATTAATTATAAATGTCTTACCTTGACTGAGCTAAACTATTTGGGGAATTGATTGCAGAATTGGTTATGATAGTTTGAAATAGGTTCTGATCATCTAAAAATATTCCTAGTTAAAATGAACAAGACTCTGAATGTCTTGAATTTATTTCTGATATTTTATGCATTTTACCTGTGTAATGTCTTTTATACAGTTGTTAGGGGCCCCAAGTTTCCTTTTTAAAATGGTTTGCTGCTTTTAGAATAATGGTGCTTTCAAACTCCATAGTGCCTATTACATTAATAAACCATGTGGTTACAGTATGTTAACTGCCGATTGACTGTTCTTATGCATTATTTAAGAGATCAACTTGGCCTATACCTGCAGGACTGGCAAATTATACTGTATCATTTCTACCACATGCAAAAAATACATGTTTTAATTTCTAAAATAAAATACTGACTAGCATCCATAAGGGTATTTAAGTGATTCTAGCTTTGTTTTATTCAGTACTGACCGTCAAAGGATCAACAAACTGTTTCTAAGTCAACTATTGCATACTATTGCTAAAATATATATTTTCTTAACATATCTGTTTTCCTGAAAAAGGAATGCAGTCCTCCCCAATGTGTGAATGGGGATCATAACACTGGCCTTTGCTGAACTAGTATTCAGTAAAGTGGGAATCTGCTACAACTCTCTGGTTCACCCTTTTTGGTGTAAATGTGTGATATGGTTATAGACCAATTCTTACCCTGACTCTGGAAAATTCAGCCAAATTCAGCCAACATATTAAGACCACCTTAGTCCAGAATACTGGGTTGCACTGCAGCAAGACCCAACATGGATTGTAGGACCATGAGCACTATGGAAATTGGGAGGTGTTTGCAAGTTGTATGTCAGAAAATCTCCCACTTGTAAGCTTACTGGCTCCAGGTAGAATCTCTGCAAGTGCCTTGCAGAGGTTAGACTACTGGCAGGGACTAAGCTCACAAGTCTTTTCCGTTTGGGTGCCAGACCCACAGGTCCAGGATTTCTGAACTGGTGTCCCAGAGAAGTCAGTGCTCGTAAGCAGCTGTTATGGTTGCCCTCCACAAAGGGGTGCCCAAGAGTGGGAGCTGGGTTCACAACCTGGGCATAGTTTACCTTCTGACGCCGAACACCCTGTCGAAGGAGAGGCATAGCTGGAAAAGGCATAAAGGATCTTTCCTGGCCAAGTGTGCACTGGTAGTGCTTTCACAGACCCAATGGAGAACCATGTTGGGCAAGGAGAAGACTCTGCCATGCTGCTGCCCATAAAGGAACCACCAGCTTGGGAGATATACGTGCCAGGGTTAGGCCTGGTTGATTCTCCAAAGATCTCTGCAGTCATCTGTATTGAGTCCTCTTATCTGGGTTGATACCATGGATCGAGTCCTCTTATTTGGGCTGATACCAGCCAAGGTAACTAACTGTACAGCAGCCAACACACCTCATGATTCCTTAAAAATGTCATCTGGCTGCAGAGTCTTGGTGCCAAATACCAAGGGAGTAGTGGCCTCTTCTGAGAGGGCAGCCTCTATGTCCCTGCACAATGCAGTTATTCAGTCTTCTCCCCTGCAAACAGTGGAGTATGTGACACCGACAAGGGAAGTGGTGGTGTGCTTCAAGTCACAATGGCAATAGAGGCCATCAGCAGCTGCTCCAAGATCTTGTGATGTTTTTTTACTCAGGCCTTCTTTCAGAGTGTCCCTGTGTAACAGGGTCTGGCTGGAACGTTACAGTTGGTTCAGTTAAGGGATGGGCTCTTGGACGAGGTGGTGAATGAGATCATTTCAGTTTGGCACAGCCTTGCTCAGCTGCCTTCTGGCTGTACTGTATATGATCTGAAGTGTAGCTCAGCAGAGGTCAGTGACATGATGCTTCCCCCTTGGTGAAGACTGCGTTCCATCCTTGAAAAAAAAACAATTTAATACTGGCTATGTAGCAGAAAATATGCTGCTCCAACATCATTAAACACTGTTCAGCAGCTCAAAAAAATCACTGTACACAAGTAGGAAATGCTAGTTTATTAACCAGGATGCCTTACTTTAAACAGTCATGTCATTCTCATAGGTGTTCACTGGAGGTTAACCAGTCTAGTTTATGACTAGGTGGGCGTAAACTGCTCTTCCTGAATTTACATGCTAATAGGATTCTTCATATGCAGCTGGATAAGTCTCCATTAACTAAGGACACCTTGAAATTAAAATGTTTGTGTTTATATAGTCCTTCATTATGAATTAATGAATGATTGTTTGCTAATGCAAAGATCTTCCAATTCTAAGCTAACTAAAGTGGAAAGTGTACTCCAAACAATCTCAGTGACATTTTCACAATACTTCTGCATAGTGAATTGTACTGCAGTAATAACCTGCAGTGACAAGTTGCCTATAAAGCACAATATTATTCCAGGATTGAAAGTGTCTACATGCTATTATGCTTTCTAGTACATTTAGCTGGTAACATACAGGGATCTCCTCATAGCTTGTGACATAATAATAGTTCATTTAAAAACATAAAGGGTTAAAAATGAGGGAGGCTATTCACCCCATCTCTAACATAATTACTTTCTTTTAACCACACAGTGGATTTCATAGAAGAGTACAGCAATGTACAGTGACCATCACTTAACAGTAGTGTAGCAGAAGCTGGGCTCAGATGCTGGATGGAATGTAACAATACACAGATCAATCAACAGCACAGGGCTTGAATGCGAAAACTCAGCAGTTCCATTTTTCTTGGAGGAAATTATTCAAGAGCAAAAGGGAAAAATGCCAGAGAGGTCCTCCCGGGGATGAATGGACATGGCAAACGCCAATGGAAAGAAGTGGTTTAGTGAGTATGAGTGCTGGAGCCGCACTTTAAGCGTTCACCTGGATATTTTGCAGGGAAAGAAGAAGAAGAGGAAGAGAGAGAAGTTACAAGAGCCTGCATCAGGTAACCAGACTGCTTTCCCCTTTTGTCGACACTAATGAGGTCAGAATACTGGGTGTGACGTAATTCCTTGCATTTCTTGCGCTTGTGTGTAATGTGCAGACAAAAGGCAAACGTGAAACAGAAGAAATAGTTAGCTGTTTGTTTTTGTGGGAGGACGGCCCTCTGACGTGTATCGTTTTTTGTAGTTTTCATTCCAATTTTTGCAAAAACACTCTTCAATGGACCCTCCTCCTATATCCCCATTGCAGTCTAACCTTGTTTGGCATTCATTGAGTAAGCACGTGCTGCCTGTTGCGCAGGTATATTGTGACTTCCTAAACAATAGTCTCTTGCCTTTTCTATGTGCCTCTGATCTTTATTCCTGCCCATCTTCTACACAGAACCTAGACTTATAGGATTAGTCTGTGAAGAGGTTTACCCGGGGAGGAAAAAAGCACACAATTGTTATTCACTATTAATGGCTTAACACTGCATAATGTCCTTTTCGCTATGTTTTTGCTACCGTGTGTAATTGTGTATGTTCCCTTATTTGCAATGACAGCAATTTATATGTATATTGAAAATCTTTAATCCTCACTTGTGTATATAAAGTACGATGTACATACACAAATGTATACGGTAGATGTTTTCTCTTTTTTTGTTGGGGGGAAAAAACATTAAAAAGACCAACATTTTCTACAGGTACAAGCCAGAGAATGAAAACTGCGTACATCTGAGCAATGGTAAGAAAATCTCAACTACATTATGTATTGGTTTATCTGCTGACAGATACGTTTGTTATTAGTGACATGTTGTGTTCTAAACACATTACTTTGAATAATATGAATTTACAGACTAATCCTAAAAGTCTACCTTAAAAAAATGTTGTATACATATTCCTGAATTTAGGGAAGGTCTTTGGCCCATGTAGCTCTTTAGATTGCTATTAGCTGATTTCTTTTTCAGCAGCTTTAGTTTAACTTTATGTATATTTCATACAAGGCTGTCATAATATCTAGATTGGTATGTATAGAAATGTTTTAAAAATGAGGCTTTTGATCCACAAACCATGTGATAGCATTTCATGAAAGATAACCATGATTAGATGATAAATTTATCGAATGTATTATTGTAAAACTACAACTGCTGTAGTGCACAGGGAGACGAAAGATGAATGGCTCTAACAGAAGAGTGTAGTAGCGAGTAATTTTGAGATAATTTTGACGGTCTTCATTTGAGACATCATTTTCAAATGGTAAATGGCATTATAAACCATTCTAGCAATACCTTTTCGACACGAGGTTGGCACGACGCTGTCAAAGCAAGACAGGAGTTTGCATGGTTTCCCTGTATCTCTGTGGGTTTTCTCTGAGGGGGCACCTCCCACTTTTCAAAGACATGCTGACTAGGTTCATTTGTGTCTTTAAATTCTGACATCCCATCCACTGTACAGTCATGTCTTCTCTAGGATAGGCACAAGGTAACTGGGATCCTTCTCAGAAATAAACAGCCTGATAATGAATAGGATAGATGTTTTTAGACTCTAATGGCAGATGATTCATCTTAGCAAATAGGAGTGAAGGTACTTAGATTCAAAGTGAATTCCTACTTTTTAAAGAGGGGTTCCAGTGCATGTCTATAAAACTACAAATATTCAGCATTTGAAGTGATGGAAAATTGTTTTGCAAAATGCCCTTTTGGGGGGGGAGGGCAGAGACAGTTTTTATACAGTCTGCAGCAGTCAAGAAGGATTCATTTAAACAGATTAAAATCTCAAAGCAAGCCTTAATAGTACTTAAAATAACACTGTTCTAACAGTCCACAGTTAGGAATGTTAAACTTGTGCAGAGTTTCAGGTTGAAGTGATTGTATCTAGCTAGTTACCAATCGTTTTGCTTTCTTGTTTGATTTTTCCCTTTTACTGTAAACCCTTCTTATTAGCATGTAACTATCTCTTCAAGTGCATTTTACTGTGCTTTCTCCAGAACTGTGAGGCTTAGCAAAATGCTGACACAATTTGATTAATGAAACCATTTCCTTGACAAAAGATGGTCCCTTGTCTTCCCGTGAGCTGTATTTATTGAGATTGGTTCGGAAAATCATTGAATATGCTAGCAAACATACTTCAGCACTGATCCCATAATTAGCAGTGCCAGGCAGAAGGTAGATTGACACCTTGACTGATTTATCATGACAACCTGAAACAAATATGCATAATACCAAGAATACTGGAGCAATTCAAAAGCAGTCAATTTATGCATATCCCAAGAGCTGGATTGAAGCTGGTTTAGCATAGACTACAGAAAACATTGCTAAATGAACTTTTTGGTTATTGTCTTTATCCTTTCTCATTTGATCAGTACATGACATGGATTTTCTAATAGTGTATATACGTTTTCCACATAATTTATATAAATCATATTAAACCTTCTCAGCAATCATAAAGCAAAAGTTTCAATATTCCTGCCTGTTATTTTGTCATTTCATTGAGAATGTTTAATGAGATTCTTTTAATTAGATTGTAATTTCTGTTCTTGGGTCACATAAAATTAGGAATTTAATAGTCATTTGTGGTGTTTATTTTCTGTTTCATGTTTTGCTTGTTACAACATATAACTATTCAGCAAGAAGCATTTTTAAGAGTGTTTGTTCTATGATAAACAATGTATTAATATTACAAAATAAACAGCTCTATGATCAATTGTAAAAATAGTCTACAGTCATGTTGGGTGTAGAATAGTACAGAAATTTTGAAAATTACCTACTTAAGAGTTCAAGAGAAAACTTTATTTTACTTTTTAATTGAACAGAATTGCTAATTTATTTTAATATTGCACATATGTGATTAATTTTAATTCCCCTTTATTAAGAGTTGTATCAAACCAAAAAAATAAGATTTAAGAAGAATTAAAAAATTCAAAACAGATGTCTTTTCTTTTGATTGGCCACTAAAAAGTGTAGAAAACAAATTGGAAGAACACCTTCAAAAACAATGTGAATTCATGAACCAAAACGGATATAGTGTATTTATGTCTCAATATGCACAACCTTTGAACACTCTTACTTTCTTTGTTGACACTTTACTCTATTGAGAACTTGAAGCATTTCTGATAAAACTTGTGTCTTTGGATTTGGATTTTGGATGAGTGCCGATTGTAGTCTTGAGATCGGTGGTTGGAATCTGGTGCAGGGTTGTGGAGATATCCCTGGCACATAGCAGTTGGCTTGGTGTCTTGCCAGGAACCTGTCAGCTTACAGTGACATCTTTCCCCTCTCTCGTGCCTTACTTCCGCCATCGATGTTGTCAATGGCGACTGTACTTGATATATGAAAAAGAAGCCTGACAGTGTGCGTTTCAGAAGACGCCGTTTTTGTCATCACTGGTATGTGGATTGCTGGCAGTGAGTTAAGTTGATTAAGTCTTGTTATTTACAAATTGGATGCCTTAAAAGAAAATTGATTTTAAATTTAAAAGGAAAAACGGATGTCTATAAATCAGGTTTGTTGTACCGCACATACAGTAGACAATATTGGATTGTGTGAGAATGGCTTGTGTTGATGACCTTCCATTAAATTGAATAAGAAAAATAGTGTAGCATACTGTGCAATAGCTGCTGCTTACTAAAGTATCAAATGTTATATGCAGGGGTACCACAATTTCTATTACAGCCTTATGTCAGTCCAGTTTGGGGGTTTTATTTTTCTGTTCTATTTCTTCGGACAAGGATTTAGGCAAGTCTGAACTTATTCATTATGTACAGTATCTTTCTGGTTATGAAGATGATCAGTGATTTCTTCCATCTTACCAAGTGATTGGCCTCATGTATTGAAAAAGATTAGTGTAGACTGAATAGAGAAGAATGATGCCAGGAAGTTGAAGGGTTATAACACCAAATTACAGTATGCAGAGATACGAAAGATGGATACTGTATGTTCATGTGCAGCAGATGTTAACACTGCAGTTGAGGAGCTGGAATCCAGTCAAATTTCTTTCCTCCTCTGATCAAGAAAGACGTAAAATAGTACGCCTTTCAACCAGCTGCTTCCACTCTCACAGCAGAATTGGCTGTTTCTTTGTGCAAAAAACATGTCCTTGCTGAATTGGTTGCTTTGAATTCGTGAAACCCAAATCTCTCCCGTTTTCTCTGTTTAGTCTGGTCCGAATAATCCTTTTCATATACCAGCCTGGAGATTTTTATCAATGTATGACATGCAGATTCCCTCAAGGTTTCTACTTCTGCCACTGTGCATTTTCACCCAGAGAACTTTAATGCAGTAAAGATGTTTTTAGACTTCATTGGTTTGGTCAAAGAGTTGCAAATGATAGCAAACTCAATGTAGATTATTCCAGATGGTTTTGTGGCTTTCTTGTGTAGCCCAGCACATTTGAAGTTGAAGTTTAGCTACAATTAGGCCAGGACCTGACTGATGTTGGCCTACTACGTGGCTACCCAGCTGGAACTAGTGAGCATAAGCTGACACGAACTTGGTTTTGACATTAATTTCAAATCTTATGCCTTGTATTTTTCTTTCTGCTTTGTAATGTTAGCCTGTCTTCACACTAGAACTATTTTTATGGTCCTGGTTTGGGACCTTTGAAATAAAATCTATAAAATTATGGTCTACTATGGAAATGAACCAAACAGATCTCCTGAAGAAGTGTTCACAATGCCTTGAATATATATATATAAATATTTGCACAAGGAAAAAAGAAACCCAGCTACACTCAAAATCTGTCAGATTCCTACTTTTTTGTTTTCTATGGGTCCAACATTATGGTCAGAATATTAGTTTTCTTTCACCATAACTGGAAGAAGACCACCTACAGTATAAATCTCTGCAAAAGACCTTCTGGTGATCAGATTAATAAGGTTTCATGCCACAGGGTAAGAATGAATACAGTGTGTGCAGAAAGGAAGTGTGTGAAAACATTTCAGAACTGATAGATGAAAAGTGTGATACAGGAATGTCTATAATTTATCATTTATGAGCTTGCAACACTCTGCTAACTGTAACCACCA